CAGAGACAGAGAAGAGAGATAAAGAGGATAGAGAGGAAGGAAGAGACATAATGATAGAGACAGAGATGGAGGGGAGGAGAGACAGAAAAGAGAGAAGGGAGGGAGACAAAGAGACAAAGATGGGAGAGACACAGAGAGAGGGAGGCAGGGAAGGTGAGACAGCCAGAGGCAGGAAGCTTCCAAGAATAAGATTATGGTCCCTTGGTTCTGTCATGGCCCAACCCCATCTGGAGCCTTGGGCCCACCTTGATCAGCTGGAGAACACCTGGAGGTTGAAGGTCTTGGAGTACATTCATTCTTTGTGAGGATCAGTTGAAGGGGTGTGTGTGTGTGTGTGTGTGTGTGTGTGTGTGTGTGAGAGTGACTTGTCAATGCTTGTGGACAGGAGGCTTAGGGGGACATCTAAGAGCTCTTTTCAGGTATGTGAGGTGGAGCAGTGAACAAAGCCCTGGGTTTGGAGTTTGAGAGGCTGTTTGTGACCCTCAGTATGTCTTGCCTCTCAGGGCCTCAGCTTCCTCATCCTCGAAATGGGGGAGTTGAGCTAGGCTATCCCTAAGATGCTCTTCTGGATCCAAACCTGTGATCCCACCATGGCCCTGGATCTTGGGATTCTGTCTGCTTGACCCCGGAGGATAAATGTCTGCTGAATTTCTATTGAACTTCAAGCTCTTCAAAGCACTTTTCTCACAATATCCCTTGGAGGGAAATAGGACACGGGTTATTCTCCCCATTTTCGAGATGGGAAGGAGTTTAAGGGACTTGCTCTAGGTCACCCAGCCAGTGTCAGGGCCAGGCCTTTCGACTCCAAACCCCACGCGGCCCTCGCTCATGTTGGAATGAAGGTCAACATAGGGAGGTTGCACAGAGGAAGATTCCACTTAGCCTGAGGAAAAGCTTCCTAATAATCAAGGTGTCTCCAAGCGAAGCTGGATAACAACTTACTGGGGATGAGGCAGACAGGCTTCTTTGGTTCAGGTGGGGAGAGGTAATGAGGTATAGGGTCTATAGACTTGGGTTCTAATTCCACCTCTGCCACTTACTAGCCGCACAATATGGGCAGGTCACTTAACCTCTCTGGTCTCCTCAACTGTAGAACGGGGATGATAATAGCTGGAGTACCTACCTCCCAGGGCTGTTGGGAGGCTCCAGTGAGAGTCTAGATTTAAACCACTTTGCAGCCTTTAGAAAGCTTGGTGAATGTCAGCTCTAATCATGAATTCATTCCCTAATGACATTTTATGGAAACCCCCCAAAGTGTCTCATGCTATTCTAGAGAAGATGGAGGGATGCAGACTAGAAGGTGGATTCAGAGTCATTGTTAATGGTTCACTATCCACATGGCAGGAAGTCTCCAGTTCAGTGCTTCGGGGATCTGTGCTTAACCCTGGGCTACTCAGTGCTTTTTGTCAGTGACCTGAATGGGGGCATCAGTGGCATGCTCATGAAGTCTGCAGATGACAAAAAGTTAACACACTGGATGAGAGTCAGGATCTGCCCCAAAAAGGTCATGACAGGAAACACCAATAGGGCTAAAGCCAATAATATGAAATCCAACAGGAATCAATGTGAAGTCTTGCACTTGGGTACAAAAAATCAACTTCACAAGAATAAAATGGGGAAGGCACAGTTAATAATAATGATAGCTAGCACTCGCATAGCACTGAAAAGTTTACAAAGCCACTTACAAATATGATATCATTTAATTGGATGCTATTATTATCCCTAACTTACAGTTGATGAAACTGAGGCACAGACAGATGTGAAGTGACTCATCCCGGGTCACTGGACTACATCCAGAATACTATGTTCAGTTCTGGGTGACGTGATTTAAGGAGAATATCGACAAAGCTAGAAAAAGTTCAGAGGAGGACAACCAGGAAGGGAAAGGTTTGGAGTCTGAGTCAGCTGACTGGCTGAAGGAAATGGGTGTGTTTAGCTTGAAGACTCAGGAGGGACATGATAGCTGTCATCCACAGGACATGAGACGAGGGAAGGAGCTTTGAGCACCCCCTCATTTTATTATTTATTTTTATTTATTCTTTTTCAGGCAATTAGGGTTGTGACTTGCCCAGTGTCACACAGCTAGTAAGTCACCTCCTCATTTTAAAGATAAGGGAGCAGACCTCAAAAGGCTTGACTACCATCACAATCATGGAACCAGGATTTAAACCCAGTCCTACTGGCTGCCTCTCCAGGGCTTTCTGTAACACCGACAGCTCCATAGGGTGGGGACTTCTGGCCCCCATCCTTCTTCATCTACACCCACTGGATCTTCCTTACCAAGATTTGAGAAGCGACTAAAAGGAGCTTGCCGGATGCAGGGTTCAGACCTACTGCTCTGCAGGTCTTTGGAGGGTTTCAACCAGAGAACCGATCCCCAGAGAACAGGACTGGACTGGAGGGAAAAAAGGCCTGTCAGAGCCCCGGAAGACTTATTTTGGCCACACCCCAATTGTGAAGGGAAAAGGAACTACTGTCTCTAGACCTGGGGCCCTGAATATCATAAACAGCCTAGATTCTCTGAACAAGGTGCCAGTGCCCACTACCCGCTCCTCCCCTGCTAGGGCCCCTAAGTGGATTTATTTATTTATTCTTACACAAAAGCAGAGCAAAAGCTCATTGTTTTCATTAGCACATTGGGCTGATGAGACAAATGATTCGCTTTTTGTCTTTCTTCTGTGCCACAGAATTCAAATAAATTTGAGTTTATTCAAACGTGTCTTCCCTGGTTCATGAATGCAGCATCCTTTCTTCCATTTATTTGCACTGCATAAATCTTGAAGACCCAAGTTCAAATCCAGCTTCAGACACACTGGCCGTGATCCTGGGGTAAGTCACCCAAAGTGGGAAATAGCACCTACCCCCCGGGTTTTTTGGGGGATAAGATGAGAGTATTTATACTGAAGTGCTTTGCTCACGTGCCTGATAAATGCCATGAAGTTTTTTGCACATTGTTTCCCTCCTTATTGGGAGCTCTTGGGGGGCAGATGGTTTTTGCCTGACTCACAGTAGGTGCCTAATAAATGCTTATTGACCAGGTCTGCAGTTCGACTTTCTTAAGACACTTCATTCCTTTCTTGTCTTGTGTGAATTCTCTTTTGGTCACTGGTTGCAACCTTTGCCGGACTTTTACTCTTTTTACAGTGTGACACAGTAGGTATGATACAGAGCCAGCCTCAAAGAGCTGGGTTCAAATTTTGCTTCTGACACGTACTGTCTGTGGCTCTGGGGAAGTCCAGGCCGCTGTCTACAATGATGTTTGCCGAAGGTGCCCACCTGCCCAGGGCAGCATCCAGTCACTGTCCCCTGAGGGCAGGGACTGTCTTGCTTGTACCTGTGTTCTGTCATTATGGCAGCCAGGGCACCAAGAGGCGCAGTGACGCCCATTACAAGTTCTCCCCATCTGGGCCCCAGCTGTCATCTGGACGTCAGACCAGCGGCCCTTCTCGTTCTGAAGGTGGGTCTGCCCATTTCACAGAGAAGGTGACCGAGGCCTAGAGAGTCATCGTGGAGACGTGGCCAAGGTCTTTGTTGGTCACGTTGGAGCAGAACCACTCAGTGCGTCACGCCCCGGAGCAGTGCGGACGCAGGGCACCGGCAAGGAGCCAGACTGGGGACAAGCTCTTGGGCAAGGTCAGGGTGACGGGGCTAGATCTGCAGGCACAGTTTCTGTTTGCTCACCTTATTGACAGGAGGGGCTGGGGGTGGGGAGGTCAACAAGGAAACGGGCTAGCTGCTGCCACCCAAGGTTCCATTGTGTTTCCTGCAGCATGGAAGGGGGCAGGAGGGGAGAACCTGGGGCAATCACAGAGCAAGGCACTAAACAAAATCCAATATTTAATCTGGCTGCAGCAGCGGGGCTGACCTCTCTCCACGCCCTCAATCAACATGGCCCCAGTGGCCTTGCCCAACATGGCAAGATAAGCGCCTATTAACGTGAGCGGAGAAAAAGGCCCCCGAACCTAAACTGCCCCCCTTCCCCGTGATGAGCAGACTTTGGGAACAATTATCAGCTCCAGACTACAAGGTGAGGGGCGCCCTTACCCCCACCTGCTGCCAATAATGGTTACAGGTTCCCCATCACCCACAAAAGGGTCTCTGAGCCTAGCACTGTTTATAGGGGCTCAGAAAACAATGCCAAGTCGTGTTGGGATGGGGAAGCCAGGAAACAAGGTGTTCCCCTCCTCCTACTCTAGGGGAGACCCTCAAAGGGAGGTGTGTGGGGCTCTGTTCTGGGCTCCCCTCCAATGGCAGGTGTCACTAACCATTTGTAATGCTGCCCCTTCCTCTGATGTTCCGATGATAGGATCAGATGTTTAGAACCAAAGATGACCCAGAGACCCCTGAGGCTGTCTGCCAGAGCAGGCACATAGTAAGCATCAGATGGAGGTCCTCTGCTTCCAATACACCCTTATGACAACATTTCACTGTAATGTCAGGAGACTACAAGGACGAGATCCCTTCTACGGTCCCCCAAATACATGTGATGATAGCTACATACCTAAGAACTGTGCACCTGTGTCTCACTCTGTGGCCAGGCCTTTGAGGTCCTGGAATTCTATCATCTTAGAGCCCCAGAATCTAAAAATGTTGGGGAGTTCACCTTCATTCAGGGCACACCTTCTTCCTCCCAGGTTTCTGACTGGGGGTAGTCTAGCCTCGTGGAAAACATCCAAAAGAGTAATAAAGTCTGAGGTGTGAAGTGGGAGCAGACCCTCTCTAAAGATCTGAGGCAACAGAACTGAAGGTGAATGCAGGCCACAGTCCCAATGAGATGGTTACCCTATGGTCTTGCCAATGGCCTCCACCTTGACTGATTGGATAGGACAGAGCGTGTATATGTGTGTGGGTGTTCATCCATGGGAAGGGTGGGCAGGCACAGGCTGGATTCAGCTAGCAGAGGGATGCAGCTACAAAGGTCCCTCGAGGACCTGCCTCCCAGCTCTTCCCTGCCCCCTGGCCCTCCCTCTTTGGAAGAAGACGCCTTGCCGAAGGAAGCGCAGATTGTAAACTGTCCAGTTTATTATTAGGTCTTTAAATGGCTACAACAGACACCAGGAGATTTCATATCTAGACTAGCTTTCCCGCCATAGGGTCACAGCACAAACATACAACAGGGTTGGATTTTTTCCCTTTTTTTTTGTCTTTTTTCTGCCTTTTTTTTAAAAGAAGAAAGCAAAGAGGTTGATGGGGGGGTGGGGGAGAGGGGGTTGCTAGAAGCTTCCGTTTTTATTTCCCCAAAAACAACAAAACAAACAAACAAAAAAAACCCCGATAAAACAGAAACAAAAGAAAAATGAAAAGTGTCACGTACATAGAAGGCCCTCCTCGGAGGGGGAGGGGAAGGGGCGGGTGGGGAGGGGCCTGCTCCGCATCTTGAAATATATTCATTTTCTTTTAAGTTTTGTCCTTCATGTTTTATGGAATAAAAAGTTAAGCCTTTTTATTGCATGAAACTAAAACTGGGGAGGGGAAGGGGGAGGAGCTGAGGAGGCAGAAGGGGGAGGGGGGAAGGTTGAGAGGGGGAGGGGGGAAAGTCCCCCCCACCGTCTCCTGGCCAGTAAGTAACACCTCTCTTCTTCTTGCATAATTTCTGGAATCTTCCTGCTTGCCACGGCCGGCTTGCTCGGCATCCCGGAGAAGAGGAGGAGGGAGGAGGGAAGATGGAGAGGGAGGAGGGGAAGGGGGGGAGGAGGGGGGGGCGGAATCACACGCTCATCGTCATGCTGGGGGAATACTGCATGGGAAGAACACAGACATGGCCCCAGAGAGCCCGTCAGACCAGAATGTCCTCCTCCACATCAGCCCCCTAACAACAGGGACTGCCCCTAACCTAGGCTCTAAGGGTAAGGGCTGAAACGGATGGTTGTGGGTAGAGAATCTGGGTCTTGGAGAAGTCCATCCTTCCTCGGATGACTCCAGAACCCAGACCTGACCCCCCTCCCAGGTACTGACTAGGGAGTCTGGGGGGCCCTGTCTCACAGTCCCAGGAAAGGAATGAAGCAGTTAATGAAGATCACCAGCAGAACAGAAGTTTTGGGCAATGGGCAGTTTCATTTCTGTCTCTAGTTCTAGCGCTTAGAACATGGCGGGTGTTCAACAAACACTCATAACGTTAGGCCAGAAAGGGACTTTAGGAACAAATCATTTTAGCCCAACTGGCCTTGTTTTATAAGTGGGGAAACTGAGGTTCAGAGCTAGTAAGTGACTCCTCAGAGGGCCCAGAAGAAGTGAGTAAGGACTAGAGCCTGGGTCCACTAGCTCCCAGCTGGGGGCAGCTTCCTGGGCAGGCCTTGATGAATAGGCTTTGCTCAAAGACCCAAGGGTACCACTGCAAAGGTTCATAGCTTGAGATCTGGAAAGGACCTCAGAGACCTCTGGGTCAACTCCTCTCATTCAGAGGCAGTGGACAGGCCCGAGGTATGATTTGAACCCGGGCCCACTGTACCACACGGAGAAGGGCAAAGAAAGAGACAACTCTTCTTCATCAAGAATGGACTGAGATGGGGCAGCTAGATGGTGCAGTGGATAGAGCACCGGCCTTGATATCAGGAGGACCTGAGTTCAAATCCGGCCTCAGACCAAACACTTGACACTTACTAGCTGTGTGACCCTGGGCAAGTCACTTAAACCCAATTGCCCCCCCCCCCAAAAAGGGCTAAGACCTCAGGCATGTGGTCGGCACTTGCACCCTGGGCTAGTGAAATACGGCTGCCAACACCTCGAGGCCACCCCACCCCCAACACCTGCCACAGGTCAATTCTCCTGGCTTTGGCAGTGGACCCCGAGGTGGGGGCAGGCAGTGATTCCGGTGCTCCTGGGGATGGGGACTAGGGGTGTGCTTGCTCATAGGGAGGTCACCCCCCAAGGAAGCGGCTTTCCCCGGGGCCCCGACCTTCAGCTGAGGACACCCACGGGCTTGTAAAAGTGGAAGGCTCCCCCTCATGGGGAGCTCGCCACACAGCCTCAGGTCAGGTCTCCAGGCCCTTTGGGCAGAGGGCGGTGCTGGGGGGCTTGGGCGGAGCTCTGTACCCTGGGGGTGGCTAAAGGACCCAAGGGAGGGCGCAGAGGACTTACATTGTCATTTTGGAAGGAATGGAGGAAGTTTCCTCCTAATTCGCCATCATCTCTGGGAGTGCCGGGGGGGTTGCTAATGCCACTTATGTTGTTTGGGGAATTCTGCAGAGAGAGAAGGGAAAAAAGAGGAGGGGGTGGGGGTTAAAGTCACCGTGCCTCCTTCCTGTCCCCGCCCTCCCCAGACGAGGGAGCTCCATGGGGCTGTGAAGGGCATTCCCCGGGGACTGTACACAGCAGGTGCTTAACAAGGGCTCTCTCTCCTGTGTGCCAGAGGGCATGGCTGGGGGCCCAGGAGGAAATGGGGGTCCTGCCTGCCAGCCCCAGGGAAGAGCCAGAATGTAGACTCACTTTTGGAAGTCCGTCTATGTCACCTGACCCTGAAATGGAAAAAGAAACTCATTACATCGTCAGTGCATCTGTCCTGAGCGCTCCTCACGGTTACTGCAGAGGGTGGGGGGAAAAACCACAGCTCCTAGCCAGTCCCTTGCCCTACGGGGGCCTTTACCAGCCCTCAGAACACTGCAGGTCAGAGCTGGGAGGGCCTTAAAACAGGGGGTGTCAGAGCTGGCTGGGAGGGGCCTGGAAACAGGGAATGTCAGGGCTGGGAGGGGCCTTAGAACAGAATATTAACACCCCCTCCCCCACATTTTATAGATGAATTCACTGAGGACTGGAAGGGTGATACCCCCAGCTCCCAGACAGGGCTCTTCCCACCACCCTATTCTGTGTCAATGACTGCTCTTCCCCTGAAGGTCCTTATCTGGAAACCAAATGAGTTAAGGGTAAAGTCCACACTTGGTTTTCCCATCAGAATTGTCTGTTTTTCTTGGAGAAAAAGGGGGTGGGGAAAAGCCTGGAGTGGCTGACCACTGTTCCCAAATCTTAAACCCACACCTTTCTCTAAACAAAACCATCCCCCCTTCAAATGCAGCTTAAAGATTCTGAACGCCACTGTCGCCCCACCCCCTGCCTGCCTCTACTTACCTAAGGATCCATTCATGTGATGGGGCTCCATGCCGCCCATACCTCCCATGGGGCCATCCGAGCCGGGGCCCATGGGGAACTGAGAAGACAGAGGAGGGAAGGGGCAGCGTGAGACGGGCAGCTCAGCACCCCCCTACCTTCTGCCTCACATGTCCCAAGCCCTGGGGGCCTCAGCCCAGAACAAGGCTCACTCCCTTCCCTAAAGCAAAGAGGCTCCAGGAGGCCATCTTCGATTTTAGGTGATGGGGGGACTGTGGGGTGGCTGGGGCTGCTCTCTTCTAAATCTGAAATCGTGTGATTCTGGCAAGTGCTTGGAAAGCACTGTCCCCCGTCTCCAGGCCTTCTCCTCCCACTCAACCTCCCTGTTCCTCCAACCAGTACTGATCCTCGGGGTCTGACCAGGGCAGAAGACGGCGGGACCACAGCTCTGCTCCCTCTGCACCATTGGCACAGACTCAAAACTCACTGGCTTGCTGAGTGGCCATACCACACTGCTAGAATTATGTTGGGCCTGGGGTCCCACTAGAACTCCTGATCTTCTACCCCCAGGCTAATAAGTGTCCCTACACAACACTGCAGGAGAGGATGAGCAGGGAGGGGTGTGTGGACGAAGGAATCCTGCTGACCCACCCACCTTCCCCTTCCAGGTGGCAGGTTAGCCTGGCCACACCCCTTAGGATGGTCACTAACATCCAGTTTAAGGTTTGCAAAGTGCTGATCCTCACAACAACCCTGCCACTGTTATCCCCATTTTTCAGATGAGGAAACAGAGGCTGAGAGAGGCCTAGTGTCTCAGGCAGGATTTGAACTCAAGTATTCCTGTTCAAGTCACTGAGCCAATGGTGGCCAAGTCCCCCATCCTACCACCCCTCCCCCCGGGCTCTCTTAGGTGAATTCTGATTCACTTCCCACCAGGCTCACAGGAAATGGAGGGCAGCGCCTGGTTCACAGACAGGTGGCCAAGTGGCTCGAGGGCTGGACCTGGGTTCAAATCCTGCCTCCCACCAAACCAAGGCAGCATTTGCCCTAGGAGAGCTCACATTCTGTTAGTCACTGGGGTTTGTTGAGTCAGGGAAACCCCTGGCCGGAGGGGCCTGGAGGACCCTGGGCTCAGAGGACCGATTTCATTTGTATGTTTTCACTGGTCTGGGGGACAACTGGCACTGTGGACGGGCCCCTTCTGGTCTCAGCGTGGGTCACAGGTACAACCTGGCTCCTCCAGCTGCCGTCTCACAGTCTCTAGCTCATCCCATTCAGCGCTGGAAGGAATCTTAGATCTCCTCTGGTTTAATCCCCTCATTCTGAGGCAGCCCGGTCGCTCAGTGGTTAGAGCACTGGGCCTGCAGTCAGAAAGATCTGTGTTCAAATTCGGCCTCAGATACTGACTGGCTGTATTACCCTGGGCAAGCGTCATGGCACCTGTTTGCCTCAGTTTCCCCTTCTGTAAAATGGGGATGATAACAGCACCTACCTCCCAGGGTTGTGGTGACAACCAAACGAGGCCATGACTATAAAGTGCTTGGCACACAGTAGGTGCTTAATAAATGTCAGTTATCATTATGGGTGGGGAAACGAAAGCCTAGCAGGGGAAGCAACTTTTCAGGGTCACGGGTAGCCAATGGGAAGCCAGGACTGGAATCTGTGTCTTTGGACTTCCAGGATAGTCCTGATGAAATGCCTCCCCTTCTAGCCTTCGCTCAGGTACCTCCTCCTCCCTGAAGCCTTCCTGGATCCTTCTCCCTCCCCACCTCAGATGTTCTCTCCCTCTTTGCAGCCTCTGCTTTGCTCTTTCCCCCTGTACTGAGGGTCTCAGCCATCAGGCAAGGGGCCTAGGCCTGCTTCCCTCAAACCCCACTGCTTCCAGCAGAGTCCTGGCCCCAGGATCTCAGACTGAGGGCCGGCCAGGGCCTCGGCTCACCCAGTCTGTCCAAGCTCCTCGTTTCATAGCCGAGGATGGCTGAGGCTCAGGGAGTGCCCAGGGTGGGATTCCCACTCGGCCTCCCTGACTCTAAGCTGTGCCCAGCCACAATACAGTTGACAAACATTGATTTGATCAGGTTATTTCCGCGCTCCTCCAGGCCAGAGGGGAAGTGGCCTGTGCTGTGTCCCCCTCCCTGAGGCCCAGCCCTGCCCGTGCCCTTGCCCGGGACCCCCGGTCTTGGCAGTGCCCCAAGCTGCCCCTTGGCCTCCCAAACAGGTGCCAAGTGGCCCACGGGCTAATCCCATCTTGGACGGTTTGTTTTCATCTCTCTCTGGTAACAAATGGCTGAAATCAATTAAACGGGCTTTCCCCTCAGCTGATGAAGTTAATTATGATTTGTTATGGTATCTGATATGTAAATGATTAGAAAGCAGACTTACATTGGACCGGCTGCCTCCGGGCGGCACGGGATTAATCATTGTGTAGATATTGTCACTGGAGTTTGTGGAGTCTGGAGAAGAGTTGGGGGGGGGGGGTGATTAATTCATTTCTTAATTAAAACAAACTCATGCCACTTGAACTCATTCTTTTGTATTTTATCACCGAAAATTCCCTCTAAGTACTGCCATTTTCTGGCTAATTTGTATTTAATGAAGATTCACAAAGTTTTTAATCACAGAAAATTCAACTGTGAAAATTATCCAACCCAGCCCTGTCCACCCTCGTCCCCCTCTCCCACCATGGGCACTTGGAGGCAAATGGCCCTGGCACTGCCCAGGCTGCCCTGGCCAGGGAATGCAGAGGGCGCTGGCTCCACCTTGCCCCAGAACCTAGGGGGAGACGGGAGGGGGAGGGACCGGGGCCATATGGAGAGCTTTGTTGTGACCTAGCCTGAAATGTAGGTCAGAGAGCTCATAAAAATGCAGCAGCAGCAGCAGGAGGAGGAGGAGGAAGAGGAGGTGGGGGGAGGGAGAGAAGGAGAGAGAGAGAGAGATGATAGAGGCCCTACCCCTGCAGCTGGGAGGAGGGGCTGGGGAGCTCCCTCCTCCTCCCCCTCCCAATTAGCATTAAAATGTCTATTTGAAAACCCACTAACAAGTTTACAAGCAGAGCAGACGCCACATGGGACATCCTCGGATTCCTGTCTCAGCTGAGGGCTCACTCCCTTTTCTCTCGCCTGCCCTGGGCCCCAGGGGGTAGGGGGATGGCTCCCCAGCCAAGGATCACCCCAAGTCTATATGCCCTTCAGTGGGGAGGAGATGAAGTAACTAACACACTCTAGGGTAGGGCACGGATCAGGAACCCGACTGGATGGCTGGGGAAACTGAGGCTGAGAAGGCAGATGAGTCGTCCAGGGCCACATGGCTACTCAGTTAGCAAGCATTTGAAGCACCTACTATGTGCCGAACATGTGCCCATTAAAGTCTGGGGACAGAAAGGGGAAAGCATGGCTTGCCCTCTAGGAGTGACCAGTCTAATGGAAGAGACAGCGTCCCAACAGCTATACATATGAAACAGAGACTGCGTCAAAGGAGGCGATCCCAGAGGGAAGGCCCCAGCAGTGGGGAGGCCCAGCAGAGGCCTCTGGGAGAAAGTGGGATCCGGGCCCAGGCTGGCAGTAAGCCAGAAGGTGGAGGACCAGAAGGAGAATACTCCAGGCATGAATGAAAAGGTGGAGGGCTGGGAGATGGAGGGGCCCCATTCATGGAGGGCTGGGAGACCCCAAATTCTACCATTTGGAAGTGCAAGATTTCTAGAAAGAAGGGTTCGCTGAGCCCCCAGCTGCCAAGGCCTACCCCCAAGTCCCCTTGTCTCTTCTGCACACCCCCATTCGGGTGGCTCCCCAGCTTTGCTCCCACCCATCTGTTTATCCTCGAGCTCCACAGGCTGGTGGCCCTGGCCCCTCTTCCTCCCTGACTTCACTCAAAGACAACTGTGGCAAGAATTATTTTGAGGAGAAGGTACCAGGGATCATCCCACCCAAGCCTCTCTTTTTATGCAAAAAAGGGCAAGTGAGGCACAGAGGGTGGGCTTCACTCCCAGGCCTGGCCCCTACCCCCACACCCCAGCCCCATGGCTGGAGAAGATGGGGGCTGGAAGCCCTCATCCACCCTGGTCACGCCCTGTTCCCATCCACCCTCCGGAGGCACGGCCGGCGATTACCTGCAGGGCTGGGCATGATGGGCGTTCCTGGGGGGCCGCCACCGCCAGGGGGACCCTGGAGACAGAGAGAAGGACATATGAGGGCTGGGTAGATGCTGCTGCTGTCAGTGGCGATGGCTCAGCCTGGTCCTCAGACAAACATTCATCTCTGCTTCCCCCTCCTGCAGGGCTCAGGCAGAGCGCCAGTCTGGTGCCCAAGGGAGGGGGGCAGAGCCTGGGGATGAGGCGGGTGGGGACGACGTGTCACCAGGGACCTTCCTCCTAAGTGGGGAGGGAGGAGGCCTGACCCCTGCTCTCATCTGGGAAACCTTTGCCTCCTCCCCCTGCAGAGATGGGTCGGATCTCAAGGGACCAGGACACATGAGTGAGGTGTGTTCTGTTGTTGAGATGAAGAAAATTCAGATCAGACAACTAAGAGGTCACAGCCCTTTTAGAGCTGGGAAGGACCTCACAACCATCTGAGGCCAACTGTCTAATTGTACAGAAGAGGCAACAGAGACCCTAAGGACGGGCTGAGGTCACCGAGATGGGTGGGATCCGAACCCAGGTTCAGCCAGGGGGATGGTGCAAGCTCAGGACTCAGGCTCAAGCAGGGGGTCTTCCTAGAGACCATCTGGTAAGGAGGAAACTGAGGTGGGCAGGGGGAGTGGGATGGGACACAGGAGCTGCCCCTAAGACACGCCAGCTGACCCCTGAACGTCAGGAACTTACCACGTAGGTACCAGGTGACGAGGAGGAGTACGGAATCTGAAAAGGGACAGGCGGGGGTTAGAAGAGTCCTCTCCCCCAGGCCGCCCTGCCCTACTGCCCACAAGGAGGTTCCACTCTAGAGATGAGGGGTCTTAGAGGCAGCTGAGGGCCACCCTCCCCATTGCTCCAGAGAAGGAAACGTGATCTGGAGGTTCTACTTCCATTACCGCCCTGCCCCCAGCCCTCTCCCAAACCACTCCATGGACAACCCTTCCCAGGTGCAACAAGGGGCCGCAGTAACAGCTGAGTGGGGGCAGCTCTCCCTACCCCCTCCCCATCCCCCATTACACCTGGAAGCCCTTCTACTTCCTCCAGGGAGTGCGGGTGGTGGAGCTCCATGCAGAGCCGGGAGGGACCTCTAACCCAGTGCCACCCCTCCTTCTAGAGAGAAGGAACTGAGGCCCATATCTAAGGCCACACTGAGAGTCACAGTGCTGGTCCCTGAGCCTGGGCAGATCCCCCAGGCCAGAAGGCTTGCCCATGGACTCCTTATGGGGGCTCGATGATGAGGGAGCAGCCCTTAGGGCCTCCCTTGGACCTTGGCAGGCCCCTAAGGACCCAACTGTCGGGCTGTTGGGCTCCAGGGTGGTACAGTGGGCAAAGAGGCTAGATGTGGAGCTGGGGGTTCCTGTCCCCCTCACTCCCTGAGTGACCTCGCACAACCGCTCTGGAGCAGGGAGGGGTTGACCAGGTGGCCCCTGACACCTCCAGACCTGGCTCAAGGACAGCCCAGACCTCTCATCTCCAAGAACAGTCCCACAGATCAGGGGGGAATGCAGTGTGCGCCTACCCCTGCCAGGGAGCTTGGCAGCCATCCCTCAACCTCCCCGCCCCCCCCCCCCCCGCCCAGGTACCAGGACTCACTGAGTTAGCGCTGTTAGGGTTGGGCCAAGGTCTGCCGGCTCCAGGGCCCCTGAAATTCAGAAGAGAAGCACAATGAGTGAAAGAAGGCAGGGACCCTGGACAGCTCCCGGAGGGAAGGGAAAGATGGGCTGGGGCTTAGTGAGGATGGATGCCCCCAAAGCCACCAGAGGGCGACAGGGAGAAGTGGGGACAGGGCCCCCCAAGCCCAAGGTGCCCCCCCAACCCCAGGTCTGGGCTAGGGATGGGCTGTGCCTCACATGTTTATTCCAGGCATGGCGGGCCCTAAAGAGTTGGGCGGAGGTCTCATGCCGCTGCCGTAATTCTGTAAAGAGAACCAAGGGTCAGCTGGGGAGGAGAAAACATGAGGAAGGGTGCAGAGACCCCAGCCCCCCGGAGGAGTGCTCTGGGAAGGTGAGGTCCTCCAGGAGGAGTAAAGGGGAGGAGATAAGGAATTGTAACTGACAATGACAGTGAGGTGGGCTAATGTAAAGGGCATCCTGAGAGTCTTATGTAGAAAAATAAAAAAAAGTATGCTCGATTTCCCATGTATTTGAACATTACTGGCCCATTTTTCCATCTGTGTGCTCAGGGCTCAGAACAGTGCTTTGCACACAGTAAGCAATTCATAAACGCTTTCTTTTTTTCTCCTTCCTTTAATTCATTCATATTTATTCTTTCTTTCCCTCTTACCCATAAAGCCTTCCCCTGTTCCAAAGAACAAGAAAAGAGAGAGAAAAAGAGTCCAGCCAAATTAACCAAATGCATAGACAGTCTGACAGGATATGCAGCGTTTCGTACCCATAGGCCTCCACCTCGGCAAACTAAATATTAAGGATTTTTAAAAAATTTAACGTTTTATGGCTTTTCCGCTTACACTGTTGACACTTCCCAGTGACTCCATCCCACAAACTATAACCTGATAAACTCTCTCCCTCCAAAGGAGCCAAACAAGCCATCCCACTGGTGATGGCTGACAATGCATGCTGTATTCTGCCCCTCCAGTCCACCTCCTGTCTACTGAGATGGAAGCGAGCTCCCTTTACTGCAATGTTTCCTCTCTGAGGTGGAGCCAATCACAACACACTTATGCGCAACAAGACATCACTGCTGTCCCCTTGTCCAACCCTAGGCCAGAAGCCGTGACTCGACCTCCCACCAGGGGGAGAAAAGCCCAGCCCTGGGGGAGGGTGACCATGGGATTTAGAAGGGGAGGGGCTCTTTCAAGGTCCTCTAGGCCAGGGCTTAATCCAGGAGCCATTAAAAAAATATATATATATTTTTTATAACTGTATTTCAATATAATTGGTTTGATTGGTAATCTTACATATTTTATCACACACACATTTTAAAACCTGATTCTGAGAAGGGGTCCATGGGCTTCACCACACTGACTGCCACGGGGGTCTAGGACACAAAAACGGTGAAGAAGTCCTTGTTCTCAGCCAAGGTGCCTTTTTACAGAGGAGGAGACTGAACCCCAGAGAGAAGAAAGAATCTGGCTTAAGATGACCCAGGCAATCACTAAGGGAGCTAGGATCTGAACCCAGGTCCCCTGACCCAGAATGTACTGCTCTGTCTCCTTCTGCCGGGGTTCCTTACCAGGTGGAAACTCTGAAGGGGATTCCTGGTCAGGATGTGGCTGGCCCCACGTCCCTTCCAGCTCTGGGCTTTTATAAAAGCGCATCTTTGTTGACATTTGCTGACCAGCCCCGACCTCTAGGAAAGTCAATCATATGTTTTATTCATTTATCTATGACTGTAGGTCCTGAAGAGGGCAGGAGCCATCTTATTTTTATCTTTGTAATCCCTGGTGCCTTGCACAGGGTCTAGTACACAATGGTGCTTAATAAATGTTCATCATTAATGGCTGAATGAAAATGAATCAATTACTGTATTAATATCCAATTACAATAATTATCGACAATAATCACAATTAGAATTAATGACAATAATCAATGAAAACTAATGCTTGAATAATAAATTGGATGAATAATTATGGATCCTAATTGACATTAATTATAGAATAATCAATAACAATAAGAGTGGACAGTCAATTGTCAAGGATAACACTAAAGTGAGCTGTGTGTGGCCCCAGGCAAACAATGGACAGCACTTATTAAATGCTCGCTGTGTGTCAGGCATTGGAAATAACAACCGCAAGCGGTAAGAGTGCACTTTGCAAGCTGCTTCTCATTTTATCCTCACAACCACCCTGGAAGGAACGTGCTATCATTTCTATTTTAGGGATGAGGAAACTGAGGCAAGGGCAGAGGTTAAGTGACTAGCCCAGGGTGACAGAGTTACTAAGGGCAGGATTTGTACTTGGGTCTTCCTGATTCCAGGCACCTGGGAGCAAGTCTGCTCTCTGAGTCTGAGAAGGAGAGGGAGGGAGGAGAGAGAGAGAGAGAGAGAGAGAGAGAGAGAGAGAGAGAGAGAGAGAGAAGAGAGTGTGTGTGTGTGTGTGTGTGTGTGTGTGTGTGTGTGTGTGTGTGTGTGTGTGTGTGTGTGTGTGTGTGTGTGTGTGTGTGTGTGATAAGCCTGTTCCTGCTTGGCCCCAAAGAGCAGGACTAATATTATTGGGAGCAGCCCTAAAGGAATGAGCTGCCTGGGCAGGGCAGGTGAGCTCCCCATCATGGGAAGGCTCTAAGGGGGCCTGGCAGTCACTGCCCATGCCGGAAGGCATTCTTGTTCAAGGGTGGCGTGGGCCAGACAGACGTCTCTGAGGTCTCTGAGTGAGACGGGTTTTTTAAGCTGGGTTTCAGGGACAGAGGAGAGAGGGGCCTTCCTCTGCAGGGGCTGGCAAAATGAGGTGGCCCAGGGAGGGCTGGCCCCTGCAGGAGAACTGGAGGAAACTGTGAGAGTGGGCAGGGAGGAGTAGGGACTTGGGGGAGTCCCCTGAGTGCTTCTCTCATGGCCATCTTGACAGGCAGAGAATAAAAGTGGGGTGGCCATCCCCACTTTTCAGGTGAGGATATGGAGGCAGGGTCACATAGCCACAATGGAGACCCTGCACAGGAGGTCTTCTGACTCCCGAGTCTGGGGATTGGGCCAGAGAGACCGAGCGCAGGAGTGCGGGGCAAGGGGAAGTGGGAGGGAGGTAGAAGGGAGAAAGGAATCCTGCGAGGAGACATGGGATTAACCCTGCGGGGGCCATGCAGCTCATTGATGGTGCCTTGGTGGGTGGTGTGGAGCCTGCCGGCAGGGCCCCACGATGACAGCCAGGCACAAGGGGAGGGGGCCTGGGGGCTCCCTGTCTGGGAGAAGGAGCAGGAGCAGCCACAGGGACCCTTGTACCTCCTTCCTCCCTGCTGCTTGTGAACAATCACAGAAAACCAGATCTGACCAGCTAGAGGCAGAGGAGGACTGAGACCACGGAAACCAGCTAGTCCCAACGAGTGCACTTTGTAAGCTTGGAATACACCTGGAGAGGCCTGGAGAGGGGCCTCTCTGGCCGCCAGGGGCTCTAATGTGAAACAACTACAAAGTTCAGACCTGTCCTTGACACTGGGTAGGACCACGTCCCCCCTATAGACCTACCCATGCACACGCATGCATCCACAGTGTGCACACCCACCCACGTGCATACATGCATACACCCACACACGCTCACCCACCCACACACATACATACATGCAGAGTATGCACACCCACCTACAGGGAGGCTCACACACCCACTCACACATGCACATACGTGCATACATATAGTGTGCATACCCACCCATGTGCACACTCACACCCACCCATACAGTACACACACACACACACACACACACACACAGGGCGCACACCCCTTCATATGTACACACACGTACACACCGCCCCCTCCCCCACCACACAGACTCGGGCTCCCTGAGCCCCAGCTAACACACTCCTTTCTGTAAGAAACCTTTCCAGATCCCCTTTCAGTTCTGCTCAGCTCCTCTGTTTATTCCTGCCTGATCTCGCCTGTACAAAGTTGCTTCCACGCCACTCCCCGATCAGACTGGGGGTTCCTGGTGGGCAGACACTGCCTCTTGCCTTTCTATCTCTAGCACGTAGCACAGTGCCTGGCAGACAGTAGGTGCTTAATAAATGCTTCTTGATTTGACGTGAGCTAAGGAAGCCCAGGTTCAAATCCTGGGCCAGAATCTGTTCTCTTTTCACTCTACCATGATCTCTCCTCACATCCCCGGTCCTGGTTTATTAACAGACTGGGCTGGGGGGAGGTTGAGTCAGGGACAGACAGGCCAACACCTCATTCATCCACTCACTGGACGAACTATTGGAAGTTTCTTTTTCTTTTTCTTTTTTTTCCTAGGCAATTGGGGTTAAGTGACTTGCCCAGGGTCACACAGCTAGTAAGTATCAAGTGTTTGGTCTGAGGCTGGATTTGAACTCAGGTCCTCCTGATTTCAGGGCTGGTGCTCTATCCACTGTGCCACCTAGCTGCCCCTTATTGGAAGTTTCAATGAGCGACAGGTCACACCCTGTTCTAGGGAAAAACGCCAGGGGGAGTCCCCCAGACCCTCTGGATGCTCCTCCAGGTCCTCTTGTGACACTGATGAATGAGAGTGACCAGGAGAGGAAGGAGACAGGAGCCAAACAACAGCGAAAGGAACTGGACGTGCTTCACAAAGACCTGAGTTCAAATCCCATCTCAGATACTTAGCCCTCAGCAAGACAGTTAACCTCTCCTTACGTGCCTCAGTTTTTGCATCTGTAAATGGGGAATGTTGCTACTGAAGATTATGTGATGGAGTCCTGTATTTGGAGTTCTGAGATCTGGGTTCCGATCCTGTTCTGTTCTACTGGGTGATCCTGAAGGCAAGTCCCTCAACCTCCCTGGGCTTCAGTTTCTTCATCCAGATTGTCTCTAGGGGCCCTTCCAGCTGTAGAACCATAGCCCTGAGTTATTTTTTCTCTTCAGACCTCAGTTTCCTTTTCTGCAAAATGAGAAGCCTGGCTCAGATCGTCCTTCTAACCAAATCTGAGCCTGTGATCCCCCTCTGGGCCTCAGTGTCCTTCTCTGTAAAGGAGAGGGTTGGGCTGGATGGCCCCTCCTGGCCCCACTTCTCCACGTTGGGGGATGGGGCTGGGTCGGCATCATGGCTGACTTCAGGTGTTCAAAGGGCCCACTCAGAGACAAGGGATGAAGCTTGTTCTCCTGAGGCCGAGGGCAGGGCGCAGAACAGTGGGTGCAGCTGGCAGAGCTGACAGGTCGGGAGGTCCAAGGCCTTCGCATCGCCGCAGGAGGGTCTGCAGGCCAGTTCCTGGGGAACCCCGTCCTTGGGCAGACTCCTGCTTCAAGGGAGGCGAGGTGAGGCGGAAGGCGGCCTCCAGGACCAGGCAATCCTCTGGAATCTCTAAGCACCCTGGCGTCGCCTCTGACCAGAGGAGACCTTGCTGCCCCTGGGCCCCGGGCAAGGAGGCCTTTCTTTCTCTTTGGGCTGGGGCTTTCCCACCAAAGACTCCAAGGCCTCAGCAGAGAGTCCTCCAGGGGCATGAAGTAACCCATGGCTTCCAGGAGATCCTCTCCTGGGTCGATCCCCCCTTTGCCAGCCTCAGACAGGCCTTGGAGTTTCCGGACTCCACCGACTATCCCGAAGGGAGGCGGTCAACGAAAGACTACAGTGTGAGGGGTGGAGCAAGGCTCTGGGATCGCAGGAGGGTACTGGTAAAGCTCTGGCCGATGGAAGGGGCCGGGCCTTGGAGTGGCCGCCAATGCCCCAAGCGACCTGGGCCAAGTCATGCCCGTCGGGGGGCCATTCCTTCTTCTGCTCGACAAAGACTGAGGAGCCCTTGAACCTCGATACTTTTGGGCAAATCACATCACTGGGCCGGGCCTCATTTCTCTCCTCTGAGAACGGGCGGTTTGGTCTAGATCGACTGAGATCTCTGCCAGGTCTGGACTCTCTGATCCAAGGATGCCTGGATGTGAACAATTCACGCCTCTCCCTCTCACCTCTTTTCTGTGTGTCACACACACACACACACACACACACACACACACACACACACACACACACACACACACACGTCTCTGAAAAACGCTGGAAGCCTCAAGACTCGGAGAGGCTTATGGGAATTACTGCACATGCTCAGCCTAAGCTAAAGACTAATTTTTCCTACAACTGTGATGTCACAAAAAGAGTCTGACCTGGAGTCAGAGAATCTGAGTGTGAATCCTCAGTCTGCTCATTTCTCTGCTCCTGTGATCTTAGTTTCTTTAAGCAAGTCGTTTTAACTCTTTGGGCCTCAGTTTCCTTATTTGTAAAATGAGAACTGGACTAAGACCATCGCAGGCCCTTCCTGCCCTGGGTCGTCCAGTCTACTCTCCTCAGACGCCTTCAGTCATAACCACGGACGCTGCAGAAAAGTCAGGGGGTGGGGGAGGGTCAAAGGAAGCGTCACATCAGGAAGAACTTCCTCCCGAGGCCCACTCTGACGCCTCCCGGGGGCACAGAGGAGCTTCCCTCAAGGCCTGAGCAGAACGCCAGCCTTTGCAGATCCAGCCCGGACGGAAAGATGTCACATCATGCACGGGTCAGCCCAACGGGAGGAAAGCGTTTTGGCTCCAGCAAGTAAAGAGGGCTCTCTGCTAAGGATAAAATCTGGGGTCTTCTGTCTGGCTAGAGAGGACACACCCATGACCACCCAGGTAGACAGGGAGCCTGGCTTGCCTCTAAGGCCCCTGTCGGTAGGGCTCTTCTCCATTATCCTTAGCTTGGAAGCCAGCTTTGCTGGGGGTGAGGGTGGGAACATTTACCCCTTCCGAAAACCACACCCTAGCCCACTTTCTCTTAAAGGCAAAGGACAAAAATCAGGGAGAGAGGAGGAAGAGGAATAAAATGAAGATTCCCTCTAGATAGATTCCTTGTAGTTCTAAATCTACGATTCTATTACCCTTACTTTACACATGAAAACACTGAGGGCCAGAGAAGGGAAGCACAGAATGGATACGTGGCAAGAACCCAGATCATGGGATCACAGACTTAGAAGTGGAAGGGACTCTGCATGCTATTTAGTCCAAAATCCTTATTTTACTGATTAGGAAACCTAGGCCCACTTAGAGAGATTAAGTGACTTTCTTGAGGGGACAGACAAGACTTGAACTCAGGACCGTTGGTTCTAAGTCATGGTAGCCCAATGGAGAAAGTGTTGTGCAGAGACCAGGAAGACTCATCTTCCTGAGTTCAAATCCTGTCTCAGACACTCATAAGCTGTGTGACCCTGGGCAAGTCACTGTTTGCCTCAGTTTCTTCTTCTGTCAAATGAGCTGGAGAAGGAGATGGCCATCCACTTCAGTATCTTTGCCAAGAAAACCCCAAATGGGGTCATGGAGAGTCGGATGTGACTCAACAATGACTGGGTGATAACAATCTTCTGGGCAGGAGGATTCCCCTTTCTGTGCCTCAGTTTTCCCTTCTGCAAAATGATGTTCATCAGGGATGTATGATATATGTATAAACCATGAAACTGGTTTTTGAGAGACAGCTCTCCTGGGCAGCAATAAGAATGCCCCCTTCCCCAGCCCTCGCCACCACCCCCCATGCTTGAGCTCTAGGGTTAAGATGGCGGCGGTGGCCTTGACTTGCTGCAGACAGAGCTGGAGATACCACCTGCCTCTTAATAGACGACACACATTCACGAGGAGACCCGAGAAGACCCATTTCCAGCTCCCCCGAGAGGCAGGACAAGGCTCAACATGAGGCAGCATCGGCAGGGCGTGGCCGGGAAAAGCTCAACAAACAGAGGATGGAAAATCCCGGAGCCCGCAGGGGAGAGCCGCCCAATCCTGTGGGACTCCTTCTCTGGGCTTAAACCAAGGCCAGGGAAAACCAGCTTCCGGGCAGAGGGAGGCTGGAAGATGCCAGCAGGTTCTGGCAGGACAGGCAAGAAGAGAAATGTTTCCCTCTCTCAGGTGAAAGAGTTACCACCATCACTAGCGGGCCTCACTCGCTTACTTTCAAGGGGTCACTAGGAAGGGGCGGATGGCAAGGTGACTTTCGTAGTGAACAGACAGGAAGTTGCCGAATTCGGATCTAAGACAGAGATGAGAATTCCAGAGGGCAGGAGCTCAGCAAACATGCATTATTATGGGAGATGGGGATGGGGCGGCATAGAGGCTGGGAAGGCACTCTCCCTACACACCATGGAGCCGGCCTTGGATGGCCAGAGCCCGCCCGCTGGGCTTGCGATGCTGGACTCGGTCCTCTCTGTCATCAACTACAGTGACCTTCGTCTGCACCATCGTCACGACCGATTTCCGTCTCTACCCCAAATCCCATCTGCTCTCCGGCCTAGACTACAGGCAATCCCTGGAGATGCTGGCCCCTTGGGCTCCATCCTGGCCTCGGCATCTTCTGCCTCTCTGCTTCAATCTCAAGTCTACGCTGGAATAAGATGGTGATGGGGGGACACAAGGTTACCTGTGGGCCAGGACCCATTGGGCCCATTCCTCGTGGGGGGTTCATCCTTTGCATGGAGCCTCCCATGTTGGGGTGTCCTGCAAGGGAAGAGAAAGAAGATGGGGCATTAAGGGGGGCGAAGGGAGGTCGAGGCACCGCCCACTAGGAGCAGGCAGCAGCTGCGTGTCCCTCCCAGCACCCCGCTGGATGCCCCGGCCGGGCATACCTTGCTGTCGCGTCGGGTCCATTGAGTTGGGCAGTAATGGTTGTGTGCCGGGAACTCCTCCAGGGGGCTGAAAGAGACAGCAGATGCAAACAGGGGGAGGAAATGACCCTGGGGCGGGGGGACCCCAATGACTGCGCTAAGGGCATCTGAGTCAGCACAAACAGCTGACCTGTCTCCCCGGGGAGGTTCTAGCTGCAGGGGCTTCTGTTTTAGTCCTTCCCACGTGTAGGTGCATCGACTCGGGGGCTGGGAGGAACCTCAGACACACGCTAGTCAAACGTCTCATTTGACAGAAAAGGAAACTGAGATCCAGGCCGATGGGAGCACGGCTCTGCCAAAGGGTGAAGCCAGCTACCTTTTTGTGACAGATGGCACCCTGACGCTTGGCCCACCAGCTCATCATGAAGGGGCCAGCCCCCCTTCAAAAGCAGGGCACCTCTGCATTGGCAAGGATGAGCTCACCATCCTTGGGCGTCAGGCTGTAAATCTGGTTTATCTCCCTGGACGAGCAACGGACCAGGTGAAGTCTCCTCTGGGCTGTGGCTTGAAATCACTCCCTCACTCCACCTAACCTTGGGCAGAGAGTGCGCAAGCATCTTGCTAATAACGGCCCAGTCATTTCTAAAGCCTGCAGTCTTTTCTGGGCTTTTCCACCTGGCTCTCGGTGGGGACAGGAAGGCCACATCCCACACCCGTAACCCAGCAGGCCAAAATCCTGCCACCTCCAACCCCGGAGGCCAGGAAGTCCTGCCTCCTGGTGGCTACAGCCTTTGGCCTCGTCCCCCCAGCATCCAGTCTCCTGGCAAAGATGGAAAAACCTAAGGGACAGAGCACAGCTCTCTATGGCCACTCTCCAAACCGAGCCAGGATTAGAATTCGGGACACTCCTGCTTAGGTGAGGGGCTCCATTCCTGGGATCACTGGATGATCTAGAACCTGTAGGGCCACTGAGTCCGAGGGGCAGAGTTTCGATGCCTCTGATCCAGTCAACGTCCCAACGAGCGGTGGTCCAATCTCCCTACTTGAATACCTCCAGGGATGGGGAACTTACTACTCCAACCACTTTGCTGCACTGAGGGACAGACCCTGGAGCTAGATGTGGAAGGGACCTCAGAGCACACCTAACCTGACTCCTCTTCTATTTTATTTGGAGGCGGTTGGGGGAAGCGACTTGCCGAGGGTCACACAGTCGGTAAGTGTCTCAGGCCTGATTTGAACTCCGGTCCCCTATCCACTGCAGTGCCCCTAGCTGCCCCTCCCATTTTACTTTAGGCACCAGAGGCCCAGGGAAGTTTGGCAATTTGTCCAACATCAGACAGACAGTCAACAAGCAGAAGCAGGATTTGAACCCATACTTTCTGATGCCAGCTTCAGCCTTTGTTTTATGGCACCACACGCTGTCAAGAAGTTTTTCCTCCTATGGCACGTAAATCATTTCATTCTTTGGACTCGTATCCCTAGTGCTTAATGCCCGGCACACAGTAGGTGCTTAACAAATGCCTGGGGATTGACTCCTGCCAACAGCACCATCACCTCTCCCCCCCCCAAAGGGATTCCCACCAAAGCGGTCACAACAAATGGCTTTGGTAAAGATACTGGGGAACCCCGTCCGGCGTAACCTCTCAGTCACAGTGTGTCCAAATACGTTAAAAATAATGATGATGACTGACAGAGGGGGTGTTTCACTGCAGCCTCAGAATGGCCATGTGGGCTAAGGGAGAACTGTGATCAGGATCACTCCCATTTTACAGATGAGGAAAGTTAAGGCTCTGAGGAAGAGGGAATGGATAAGTCCCACAGCTAGTGCCCAACCAAAGTTTTGCCTGTCTACACTAGAAAAATTAGAAGCCTGGGGGTGCAAAAACATGGAAGAGGAGAAAAACCAAGTCCCCTTTTGCAATGACCGGTGGCTCCTGGCTGCCAGGCCCCCTTTCCCTTGATGCTGGACAGCAGGGTGGCGGCCCTGACTGTTCCTGCCCAGGATGCCCCCGCCCTCCTCCCCTGGCCCTGGGAGCACCCCTGGCTTCCTTAAGAGGCCAAGCTCAGGAGCAGCCTTCCCCACACCCCAGCTTTCTTCTTGATTCATAACTATTCCTAGCTGTACGTATATTGCCTCCCAGGCTAGACCAGAGACAGGGGATGGTTTGACTTCCTGCCTTTGTATCTCTGGTGCCCAATCCTTAGGAGGTATTTAATGTTTGTTGACTGGAATAGAAAATAAATCAATAAGCACTGATTAGGTACCTACTATGTGTCTATCATATCGTAGCTACATATTATAATGATGTGAGTGTATAATATTTTGATATATCAAGCATTTTATGCATGTAAATAGTAGGTGCTTAATATATAGAGATTTAAATCTAAAGAATACTGCTCAGATACCCAGATCCACGTATAATCTGCAGATATACATCCAGCTGGCTTCTCCTAGCTCTAACACTCAATTTAGTAAACGTTAAGCACTTACTAGGTGCCAGGCACTGTGTTACTATGCACACTCTTCTGAGGTTCCATCTATTTCTATCATCTGTATGCTCATGCCCCCTCCACTTCTGCAGACATCTATACTGCAGGACTCTGACAAATAAGTTCCTGGGGGGAGGCAGGGTCTCTAACAAGCTCTGGGCCAGACCATAGCCTGCCCAAGGTCACAGGTCTCTACGCTCTCCCAAAGGGACCATCCGTGACAGATCACAGGGAGACTGGGTACAGTGGGGCGGGGAAGGAAGGTGCTTGGGAATTTAGGGGATGAAGATTGGTTCCCTAGATGGGAAATGAAGGGAACATGAAGGAATTTTTTTTACTCTTTTCTTGGCTTTAAAGATGGGAGGATGGGGGTGGAGGGGTGTGAAGGAGAGGGAGAAAGTAAGGAATGGAGAGGGAAACTGGGCTTTGAAGGTATCCTAGGGACTGGCTCTTGCTTGGATTTAATTGCTAAATAAATTTAAATTATTAAATCTCCCGTCCAGTACTGTAGAATAGGGCACTTCTCTGAGGCTTGGGACCACTTCTCATCAGCCTGCGCCTGGGAAGCCCACCCAAGGCAAGTGTGTGGCAGGGGCCCCCAGCACTAGGAAAACGAAAGTGGGAAGCAAGGTAGTGGGTGCAGGAGCCCCTGAGCCTCCGAGGCCACCGAATCCACCTCAAATCTGAGCACAAAATGCCTTTACAAAAGCTGCCATCTGGCCTCTGCTGGAATACCCCCCAGTGACCGGGAAGCTCAGCATCCCATCAGACCCCGCTTTGGCTGGCTCTGTTAGGAAGTTTTCCTTCCTTCTGGCCAAAATCGGTACATTAGGTGTTACTCAGAGCAGGGGGGGCCCTCAGGGTGTCTTAGTCCCAAACCCTTCACTTTATGGATGAGAAAAGCAGGTACTGGAGATGAGGAAATGATCTGCCTGAAGTGACAGGGCCATGTCTCCAAACCCTTGTAGCTGGGTTTGAATTCTGCCTCTGATGCTTACCACCTGGGTAACCCTAGGCAAGTGCCTTCATCTCTCTGGGCCTCAGTTTCCCCTTCTGTAGAACGAGATCTGAGATCCCTTCTAGCTACAGGTCTTACACTACAGTACCCAGACTATGAGGTAAGAGCTCTGGGTTTTAGTCCTGACATCTGTCTGGCGAATTTGGTCTGGGGGCGCTTGCCTTCCTACGGGCTTCTTGCAACACAAATCCCCAGGATCTCATTCAGAGAAGCCTCCTTACACCCCCAGGCTTTCTGGAGTCAGTGGACACAGAGGGATTTGCTAGACTCTAGACCCCAAGGATCCGGGTTCAAATCCTACCACGGACACTACCTGTGAGACCTTGGGCAAGTCACCTAACTCCATGGGCCAGTTACCTCCTGTGTCAATAGGAGGCTTGGATAAGACAGCCCCCAATCTATGCTCCCTGGATCCTCAAAGGGCTACGGAACCAGGAGACGTTATCAGCCATTGCTAGGGTTGGTACCAGCTTTACTCATTCATTCTATAAAAGGTCTTTACCAAATCAATGAAAAAGCTGTCAGAAGGAAAATAAAACTGCCTGCTCCAAACACAGCCCACCAGGGCATTTCCCCAGTGACAAGACCCTAGAAGCACTGGGAGGCTGCTCCTGAGGGTAGACAAATGTGTAGGGGTGGGCCTAGAATCCCATGGACCCGGGGAGCTCTGGAACACACGTTAGAGCCAAACAGAAACCATGCTTAAGGACAGCCACTGGGAATATGGAGGTTTTACTTTTAAAGTCTTCCACAAATTCCCTATTTCTTATTTCATAGGGGAACTCTCATTCGCTTCCCGGTGTCTAACACTTATCCTCCCCCCATTTTACCAATGAGAAAACCGAGGTTAAAGGGCTTCCTCATGGTCTATCAGAGGTAGGATGTGAACCCAGGTCTTCCTTCCACCAACTCCACATTCAATGCTCAAACTACTACTCCACGCTGTTTCAAAGGCAGAAGGGTTCTGTAGGTAGAGGGTGGCCCCAAGGCTCTCTGCTGGACCAGCATCATTCTTTGTTCTGACGTTCTGTGGGATGCAGGGGCCAGAGAAATGGATCTCCAATCAGGACCTGAACAGACCTGGGTGGCGTTGAGGAAATCACCGCCCCCCCCCCCCATCTCTGAGTCTCAGTTTCCTGACCTGTAAATGAAAGGAGATGGGCTCCCCACAGCCTCTAAGGTCTCTACTAGGTCTAAATCCATCACCTGATACAATGCAGAGCTTGGACTAGATGACCTTCAGGGCCCTATCAAAGGCGACAGAATGAAGGTATTAATGCCAGAGTGGGAGACAAAGACAGAGACAGAAAGATGAGAGAGGAGAGAGAGAGAGAGAGAGAGAGAGAGAGAGAGAGAGAGAGAGAGAGAGAGAGATGGACAGACACAATGGGAGAGAGAGAGAAATCAAACCAACCCATTCACTGGGTGACCCGGGTCACGTCCCCTGTCCTCAGGAGATATCTCTGCATCCTCCCCTCTAAAACAAACAGAAGCCTTGGATTTAGGTCAAAGGACCCTGCTTTGAATCCCAGCCCTTACATTGAGTAGCTCAGTTTCCTCATCTGTAAAAGAAGGCAGTTTTCAAAGTATAGTCTGGAGGCCCTTCCAGGGGAGTCGATGAGACCAAAACTATTTTCCTAATATTCCTAAGATACTTTATTTCTAATATGGTAAATTATGTGCACACATATTGGTATTTTTTGTATTAAAAATTGGAAAAGGTTTGGGGATGGAGTTCCTCAGCAATTTTTAAGAGCATAAAAGGGTCCTGAGACTGAACAGGTTAAGAAACTCTGGTTCAGATGGTCTCCAGGGCCCCTCGCGGTTCTGATTCCTACTTTGTACATCACTTACCCTCTCTGAGAGTCTCAAGTTTCTGTTAAGCACCTACTATGTGCCACAGAAGGGACATGGCCAGGATGATCACCAAATTCTTTTTCAGCTCTAAATCTCTGATTTATTCATCCATTTATTTATTTATTTTAGGGTAGACAATGGGGTTAAGTGATTTGCCCAGGGTCACACAGCCAGTAAGTGTAATGTGTCTGAGGCTGGATTTGAACTCAGGACCTCCTGAATCCAGGGCCAGTGCTCTATCCACTGCGCCACCTAGCTGCCCCTAAATCTCTGATTTAAAGACAATTTTCTTCTCTGGGCCTCAGTGAAATAAAGGGGATATACCAGATGACCACCAAGGTGCCTCCTAGCCCTAGACTTCTAATCTGTCCACCACTCTTTCTCTTTGAGGCTCAGTTTCTCCATCTGTAAAATGCAGGCATGGACCAGATGACCCCTGGCAGGGGGTGGGGGGAGGGAAGCCCTGCCTCTCTCTCCTGGGACTCTCCACAGAGAGCTGCCTCTCCCTTGATGAACATGGGTGCCCATCCCTCTCCCTCCCCTCCATGCTGAAGGGGACAGACGACCCCAGCATCTCCACTGTCACCACGACCACCACCCCGGCAAGCGAAAGGAAGGAGGCAAAGAGAGGTACCGTACGTACCTGGTTTCCCATTCTGATGGGGGGCCTGGGGCCGCCTGCATATCGTGGTGACATAAAGGGCTGTAATTACAGGAAATTAATTCAATGACAGCCTGTATTCAGAGCACGTGGACCAACAGAAGTCGATCATCAGGTAGGCCCAGCTACGGTGTGCTTGGCAACACCTCTCTCTTGGCTTTCTTTCTCACTTGCTCTTTTGTGGCTGCCTCTTTCCTTCTACCAGAAAACCTTCAGAGGGGGGCAGGGGGCGGGGGGACACACCGTCATAGCCGCCAAAGAGAAAGTAGATCTCTGGGCTCCCGGCTGCTTTGCCCTAAGGCTTAATTCTCCTGGGCCTGGAGACTGGCCTCAAGAAGAGGTGGCTGAGATAAACCAAGGATGTCAGGGGAGCTGGGCTAGGGGCAGAGGTTCAGATGGGGAGACCCTCTGCTACCCTTGGCGAGGGCAAAAAAAACAAAAACAAAAAGAAAAAAAGGTCTTTAAAAAATCAAAAAACCAAATTGAAATGAAAGTCGAAAACCCGCAACTGAAGCCAAACACGCACGCGCACGCGCACACACATACGAACACATGAGAACCACCAGGGGACAGGGGTGGGGGGCAGGGGGCACAACGGGACAGCCTACCGCGAAAGGAGCCCATAGGAAGCTTTTTGAGCGGGGGCGGGGGAGCAAGGAGGAGAGGCCAGCAGTATGCAGCTGAAGGGGGGACCCAGCCCCCAAAAAGGGAGTGAGAAAACATACAGGGTGGGGTGTGGGGAGGGGTGGGTCCTTCTGTGAGGGCCTGGCTCAGAGCTGGGAGGAAGGCCAAGGAGGGAAGATGCTAACTCCTGCAAAGTCTTCTTGGTTAAAAGGAATTGTTCTCAATGGAGCAAAACTCAGTGGGATGGGGGCAAAAAACCAATGGTTTCTTTCCATTTCTTTGTTTCTTTACTCCCCAGGCGCCCTGGGCAGAGCTATAGTGTCCTTTACCTGACTGTGGGGTCCCATCATGCTGTTAGCATTGTGTGGTGCAGGCTGTGCGTGGGGCGAGGGCTGGGAACCCGGAGGACCCTGCGAGGTCAGACAGTAGAAGGAGGTTATAGATCATAGCACATGGAGAAGCGCAGAAAAAAGCTTAATGAAAACAAAACAAAAAAACAAAGAAAAAAAAGACAACCAAGGTGGGGGGGACTGGAAGGGGGGACGTGTTGGCTCTTTGTTGGGGGAAGAAGTGGAGTGATGGGGGCTCGTTTGCTCGTTAAAATCACCAGCTGGCTGGCCATTAAAAGGGAAAAAGAAACAAAATCAAGATTGACAAACACATTAATAAAGGATTAAAAAAAACCCCAACAACAAATAAAAACCAAGCAATTGAAAGAAAACAGACCACACTGTTCAAACCATACGGGGAAAACCTTTCCCAGGAAGCGTCCTTTTCTGAGTTTGCCATGACCAATACTTTGGGGTGAGACTCAGAAACAGAGGGGAGAGAGACACATGGTCTGAACCCAGACTGGCCCCCTTACTCACAAAACTGGACCATTTTGGGGTGAGGGGTGGTGGTGGTGGTCCTGATGTCCACCCCCAGAAATTGAGATCGAGATGGAGTCCTCAGGCTGGGTCACTTTTCCCCAAAAGACCAGCTCCAGCTCCCCCCCATACATCCAGCCTAACTCTTGTGGCTGGAAACATTCTGTCTGGGATGAACAAACTGTTCTGAATTAGGGGGGACCTCCTTTATAAAGAGCAGCGCTAACCTCCCCAAGATGAACTGCTCACAGAAGCCACCTTCTTTACCCATCATGCTCACTATGTATGGAGGCTAAGAAGCACAGTGATCCCCCTGTAGGGTTTTTTCCTCCCCCTTCCCTTTTTCGCCCCTGGTCCCAGACCGGCCCTGTCCCCCGCCTACAGAGCAGCAGGCCCTGACGTTACATTGTGGGGTGGCCACCAAGGGAGGTGGGCATGCTGAGCTCAGAGGCCACACCGAGGCAGAGGCACCATGGAGGACACCCATCTCTTCAGATGGCCCCAGAAGGGGGCTCAGCCTCCCAAACCAAGTCAAGAGATCTTGTTATATAAAGGGTGGGAGAGAGAGCACGTGAGCAAATGTTCATTAAGTGCCGAAAATACACAGGAAGGCAAAGACAGCCCTGGCTCTGTGGGAGCTCCAGAAGACAATGTGCACACCACTACCTCCAATCAGATCTGGACTGGATAAATGGCTGATATGCTACAGGGCCAACAGAAGGAAGGCAGCAGTAAGGGAGGAAGCGAAAGGCAGAGAGAGAAATGAAGAGGTGATCTGGTCTGATCTGCTCATTGTACAGATGAGGAAACTGAGGCACAGAGAGCAGATGTCATTCAGCCCAGACCAGTGACAGCAGAGTCAGGATTCAGACCCAGGTCCTCTGACTCTGGCTCACATGATGTGAGGGCAAAGCACTTTACACATGGTGTTTTATCCTCACAATGATCCTGGGAGGCAGGTGCTATAATCCTCACCCCCATTTTATAGGTGAGAAAACTGAGGCAGACAGCGGTGACTTGCCCAGGTCATACAGCTGGCAAGTATCTGATGGAGAATTCAAACTCATGATGCCTTCTGGACTCCACACTACGACCCAGATGCTTTGTAAAATAATGCAGAGGGATGGAGGTGACTTCTGAGGGATAAGATCCTATCGTGCTGTGAACTCGGGCATCACTCTCCCACCGCCGTAGCACAGGGCTCTGCAGGCACCTCCTCAGGTGCGATGTGAAAACGGAGTCTTCATACTAGAGTTCGGAGTCAGAAGGGGTCAACCCTCTTGATAGAGAGGGAAACAGACCCAGAGAGGCGGGGGGGAGATGATTAAACAGCAGACAAGATCAGAACCCGGGGCTTCACACCAGTGTCAAGACACCGGACACCAGATGTCCAAGGGCTCAAGCCTATAGAAGACAGAAGGTCCGAACCAGGAGAGATGCCGAACAGCGACTGTGACGAGTCAGAAGGACCCTGGGAGGCCTGTCTGTTCAACTGCCCTGTCTCCTACGGGGAGGGACGAGGAGCAAAGGCAGGAAGGGCTGAAGAGGCACCGCCAGGGCGTGTGTGCAGAGGGTCGGGGCGCCTGGGGAGCCAATGTGGGTTCGTTCCCCCGGCGCGCACACGCATGCACGCGGCGTTCCCTAGCTCCCGTCAGGAACGAGCCTCGGAGCAGATGTTCCCCTACCTGCCATGTTACTAATTTCAACAAGTGTGCGCCTTTCTAGCGGCTGCCAGCACGGTTTGTTACCATGAGCAATTTTCTTAATTAACAGACATTAATTAGCCATTTAGCAATTTTGCAAGCATTTGTCTAGCAGCTTTCGTAAACATGAACACCACTGAGATAATGGCACTGATTAGAGGGTCCCCTAATTAACAGTACAGGGAAGGAAAATTGAAATCACATAAATTAGAAAGGGAGGGGAAGTTAATGAAGGCAGGACATATTTGCACCTGCAAGTCTTTTGTACAGCGGAAACTTGGGTGTAATGTAAACAAGATAATTTAAAACCAACCCAAAAGAAAAAGCAGCGCCAGGGAGGCAGGGAAGGTTTCTGGTGAGGTCCAGCAACAGTGATTAAAAGCAAGGGAAAGCAGCATTTGGCCCAGCCAGCAAGCTTCATCTTGGGCCTCCCAACACCTCAGCTGAACACGCTCTTAGCAGCGGTGTGCCGCCAACCACGCGGGTGATGGTGGCCAGCCCTGTGGGTGACTATGGCCAGGCCACGAGCTGACACCACAGTCAGATTAAAGGTGACCATCACCAGCCCTGGCTCTGAACTGGAAAAAGAGCATTTCGATTCTGAGGAGCCAGAAGCATCCGCGTCTAATTGATGAATGCTCATTGTTGGGAGGCTGAGGGCCCCAGAAGGTGCCCCTCCAGCTTGGACAGTCTGTACCTTCTCCTTAAGTTCTCCTCTGATGACTCCCCACATATTTTCACATCAGCACTGGCCCATGAAGTCAAGAGTTCTCATCCCACCCCTTGGGATTTGGAAAGGACCTTAAAGTCACCGAGTAGAATGGAGACTCTGTGAGGACAGGGACTGTTTGACATAAGGTCACAGGAACCTCAGGGGTTATACAGTCCAACACATCACTGTACAGATGAAGAAACTGAGACCTGAGGAGGATGAGTGACTTGTCCAAGACCACACAGTATCACAGTGTCATCTTTGGGTCTTTATAGTAGGTGCTTAATAAATGCTTATGGGATTGAATCACAACACCCACGGTGGGAAGCCCAACAGAGACTCCCTGGCAGAGCGGATGAGCTCTAGCCTGATACTGTGATGTGCAAGGGCTGCGAGCTCAACGTTGATGACCACTGTCCTTCCCGCTGCTGGACAGCTCCTAACAGGCAGACCTCAAAAGCGTGGAACCCAAGGATGGAGAAATGGAGGCCCAGGGAGGTTAATGATTTGCCCACGATCACAGACGGGGAGCAAACCTTGGAACTGGGATTCAAACTCAGGTCTTCTGACTTTACCATTGCTCTTCTATTGAACCAAGTTGTTTCCCTGTCTTATTTTCCCAAGATCTTTCAAAGTCCTGTTCAGCTAGAAGGCTCATTAGCCATCAATACTGATGACTGATTGTTCCTTCATGAACTGGTGTGTGTGTGTCTGTGTGTGTGTCTGTCCGACCATTTCCGCCTTCCCTACTGCACAAGGCCGGCAGGAGGTCAAGCGTGAAGAGCCGTGCAAACGTATTATCCTTCTCAGTAATAAGATCAGAGGCTCCCTCCCAGCCAACCTTTGCCGTTCTTAGCTTCCTCCTGACATTCTGCACTCGGAGGCCCTTCCGGCTTTGTCCATCTGTGTCTCCAAAGTCCTAAGGGGGCCTACTGATCAAGTGCATTACAATGTTCTGATTTCTGAGAAGACTCCTTAGGGCACAGCTTACAGATGAGGAAACTGAGGCAAGGTTATACTGGTTTGTAGGAGAACTAGGACTTGAACCCAGGTTCTTTGATCTCAAATGCTGTGTTTTAATTCACTGCAATGTTGCTGAAGTGAGGACTATGAAAGACTCAGACTATCCATCAGAGGATTTCCTCGACCCCTCACCAGAACAAGAGTCCTCTTCTTTGTCAAGTCAAGCCATCTTTGGGTTTGGGAAGACCCCCAGACCAGGGGTCCTCACCTTTACTCTACCCATTCTCCCCAGGCTGCCTGATATCGTTCCCTTCTCTAATCAACTGGTGTCGAATGACAGGAGCTGTGACCCAATCAATGTCTGCCCTCAGCAAGGAAGGGTCCATGGACCCAGTGAGCCTGCCCACTGGAGGGCAGATCAGAACAGCCCCCTGCCTCTCTTTCCTTCCCTGAGGGGCCAGTCACAAAGAATCTCTCTCCCTCAAGTCATTTAGGAGCTCCCTTCAGAAACCAGCCAGATCTCCAAATCAGTCGTCCTCAACCCCTTCTGCCACAGGGCGCCAGGCAGTGCCTGAAAAGCCCCGAGTGTGAATCCTACACCTCGGAGTCTTACTGGCTGGGTGATCTTAGGCAAGTCCCTTGTCCTGGCTCTGTGCCTCAGTTTCCTCATGAGGAAATCTGATCTCAATCAGATAAGGACAACAGCTATCTCACAAGGATGTCGTGAGAACTGAAATAGGATAATATACGTACAGTGTTTTGTTTAAAGCCTGACACACACGTCATTGTTGTTGTTAGATTTACCATCGAGGCTAGACTGCCCTCCACTGGAAACTGTAGCTTATCTTATTAAATGATGTCACCAAGAAGTGAACACAGGACTCCAGATGGGGTCTGAACTGGGCAAAGGGAGGACAGCACGACTCTCCTGGAAGCTCTGACCCTCTTAAGGCAGCTGGAGATCCTACCCCCTGCCCTACCCCCCTCCTGACTTAGAGTGAGCCTGTGGTCCACTAAAACCCCCAGATCTTCAGATGATTGGCTGTCTAGCCATGCCTCCCTCCTCTTACACTTGGGAAACTGACTTGTTTCTGAACAAGTCAAAGATTTTCTCTCTCTCCCTATTGAATTTCTTGAGAATGTTTGGAAGCCTGACTCTCATC